TGATCTGCTTTTTTCAATTTTATACGTCCTCATGTCCTTTACATGCAATCATATTTTTATCTCAAAAGAGGAAATTATTTATTATTATTATTAATTATTTATTTATTTATTATTATTATTAATTATTTATTATTAACTATTTATTAACTCACTTTCGTTGATTGCAAAAAAAGAATTTTTTTAATTGTAAAATTATTCTAAAACACCAATAAATTCTTTTTTAAATAAATATTTAATTATTATTATTCCATAGGAGTTAAGATTTTCAAAAAATTTCAAATTCAAACCAATTATGAAATTTAACAAATTATAAGAAAATTATTATAAAACATGAAGATATCAATAACTCCGAGTCTTCGACTCGGAGTGATCGATATCTTCATGTTTCGTAATAATTTAAATTTCTATAAAATTTTTCAAAAATTAAATTATCTACAAAAATTTTCATAAAATCCTTCCCAAGAATTCAATTATATTTACAAGTAATAAAATTTTTCCCATGAATTCAATTATATTTAAAAAAAAATTTTATAAAATGCATCGAAGAAAATCAATTATTTTCACAAATAATACAATTCTTTACGTGATTTCAATTATTTATAAAAAATTTAAATAAAATTCTACGCAAACATTTCATTATTTTCATAAATAATAAGAATTTCACAGGAATTCAATTATTTGAAAGTGTTTCATAAATTTCTTCGCAATAATTCAATTTTATTCATAAATAATGAAATTTTTTACAGGGATTTAATTATGTTCGCAATAATAAAGAAATTTCTTTTAGGAATTCAATTATTTTTTAAAATTTACAGGAATTCAATTATTTATTTAAATTTTTGACAAAAATGTTCGCAAAAATTCAATTATTTTCATAAATAATAAACTTCTTCTGAAAAATTTATTAATTTAAAGAATTTTGATAAAATCCTTCGCAGGAATTCAATTATTTTAACATAAATAACCAAATTCTTCGCAAGAATTCAATTATTTTCAATACAATTTTTATAAAAATTTTCAAAAGAATTTAATTATTTTTAAAATTTTGATAAAAATCTACACAACAAATCAATTATTTTGAAAAATTTGTCTTAAATTATGAGAATTGGAATATTTACTATATTTTAATTAAATTCATTGAAAAAATTCAATTATTTTCGAATATTATAATAAAATTCTACGCAAATATTTAATTATTTTCATAAATAATAGAAATTTATTTATTTATTAACAAATATTTAAATTTATTTACTTTTTCATAAATTTCTTTGCAATAATTCAATTCTGTTCATAAATACAATAAAATTTGTTTTCAAGAATTCAATTATTTTCCTAAATAATAAAATTCTTTACAGGATTTCAATTATTTTTAATACAATTTTAAAGTAAATTCTTCGAAAAATGTAATTATTTTCAAAAATATTCAAAATTGAATTATTTTCGAAAATTCATGCTATAATACTTTTATTCAATTATTATGTAAAATTTTAACTGAAATTCATTTTTAAATTAATTTTTATTAAAAAATTCTAAGGGAATTCAATTATTTAAATACAAAAATAAATAATTCATTGAATAAATGAATATTTTTTAAAAAACGATTTTTTATAAAGAATTTTATCAAAATTTTTTAAAATAATTGAATTCTCGACGAATTTTAATAAAATTTTCAAGAATAATTACATTTTTCGAGGAATTTGATTAAAATTGTATTAAAAATAATTGAAATTCTATGATGAGTTTTATTATTCATGAAAATAATTGAATTTTTGAGAAGAATTTTATTATTTCTAAAGATAATTGAAATTTTGACGAGAAGTTTTTTTTAATTTTGGAACATAATTGAATTTCAGAACAATTTTGAAAATAATTGAATTTTGGACAAATTTTTTGCTACTAATAAAGATAATTGAATTCTTAACAAGAATTTATTTTGGAAATAATTGAATTCCAGTGAAATATTTTAATATTTTTGAAAATAATTGAATACTTGACAAGAATTTTATTCAACATTTTGAAAATAATTGAATTTTGGAGAAGAATTTTGATATTCATTTATAAAGATAATTGAATTCTTTACAAGAATTTATTTTGGAAATAATTGAATTTCAGTGAAATATTTTATTATTTTTGTGAATAATTGAATACTTGACAAGAATTTTATTCAAATTTTTGAAAATAATTGAATTTTGGAAAAGAATTTTGATATTCATTTATAAAGATAATTGAAATGTTGACTACCATTTTTTTTATTTATTAAAAATAATTGAATTTTTGAGACGAATGTTATTAATTTTCAAAATATTTGAATTCTTTCGATAAATATTGATATTTTTGAGAATAATTGAAATTTTGCTAAGGATTTTATTAAAATTTTTGTAAATAACTGAATTCTGGAGATGAATTTTATTATTTATAAAGATAATTGTAATTTTGAAGAGAATTTAAAAAAAATTTTGAACATAATTGAATTTCTGCGAAGAATTTTATTACTTTTGAAAATAATTGAATTCTTGTGATGAATACTATTGTTTATAAAAATAATTGAATTTTGTCGAAGAATTTTGCTATTCATGTATAAAGATAATTGAAATATTGCTGACCATTTTTTCTTGATTTCTTGAAAATAATTGAATTTCTGCGAAGAATGTTATTAATTTTGAAAATAATTGAATTCTTGCGATGAATATTGTTATTTTTGAAAATAATTGAAATTTTGCTAAGAATTTTATTAAAATTTTTGAAAATAATTGAATTTCTGCGAAGAATTTTATTACTTCTAAAAATAATTGAAATATTGACGTCCTTTTTTTTAATTTTTTAAAATAATTGAATTTTGAAGAAGAATTTTATTACTTTTGAAAATAATTGAATTTCTGCAATCATTTGTAACTTCTTATAAATTCAATTTTTTTTCGACGTAGGTAATTAATAATAAATTAGTAATAATAATTAATAATAAATAATAAAAATAGTAATAAATAATGAAAATGATAAAATAAATAATAATAAATAATAAAAACAATAATAAATAATAAAAGTAATTATAAATAATAAAATTAATAATAATTCAAACTGTCATCACTTTTTTTAAATTTATTTCCATTTTTCAATTTGTATTAATTAATTAATACTACTATTAAAAATAGTGTTATAATTAATAATTAGACCGATTATTAATTACCTCTATTTTTGATAATTAAACAATTTACTGTAATAAAAAAAGAAGATAAAAAAAGGAATTTAAATTATTCTGTTTGAAAATCAATAACTTGATATAAAAATTTGTTTCTTGTGTACAAGCCTCTTAAAAGTTAAAACCAGATGTCCTTAGAAAAAAAAAATGAAACTATGTCATCACTTTGAGAAGAGAGGTTGTTATTATGAAATAATCGCTATATATTAATCGATATTTATTTTAAAATGGAATTTTAATGAGATATTCAGCGCGGAAATTCTCGTCGAGAGATTAAGAACAACTTTATTCGCGGCTCCATTTAAATCCACCGCTTGTATTATTTTCCTGAAATTTACTCATTCATCTAAAGCCCGGAAGAAGTTGAGACTCTTGACGAAACTTCCACTTCTAATGGCAATGATTAAAGAGATCGCAAAAGTATATGAATAGAATTTATGTGTATAAAAGTATAAAAAGAAAAAAAAAACTCCTCAAGTACTATGCGAAAATTATACGACTTTATTTTCTATGCATCGCGCAATATAAATTCACTTAATTATTATTATTATTTTCATTTCTAAAAATTTGTGTAGAGATTAATATTTTTCGCCCAAAAAAATATATATTCACTTAATTTTTTTATTATTTTCATTTCTAAAAACTTGTGTAGAAATTGATATTTTTCACAAAAAAATATAAATTTACTTAATTATTATTATTATTTTCATTTCTAAAAACTTGTGTAGAAATTAATATTTTTCACAAAAAAATATAAATTTACTTAATTATTATTATTATTTTCATTTCTAAAAACTTGTGTAGAAATTAATATTTTTCCCAAAAAAATATAAATTCACTTAATTATTCTTATTATTTCTCATCTAAAAAGCTTGTGTAGAATTTAATATTTTTCAAAAAAAAAAAAAAAAAATAGAAGAGAGGGAAAAAAACAACATTTAAATTTTTATATTGAGAGAAAAAATTTTGGTTAATTTTTAATTTAAGGGGAATGTTGAGAAACAATTTTGCGGTAATTTGAGATATTTTTGGGTATTAATATAAAATTATTGACTGTGCTTTTGCCGGGGCTTTATTTCAGGTTCATTTGAAAATAGAGGATAATGGCAAAAGCAGGGCAAAAGTGAAAATAGCCAGAGGTTGATATATTAACTTTACTTTTTCAGTTGACAATGTCGAACAAAAACATTTAGTTGGCATTTCAAGTTCTGCAAATACAACACACACGAAAATTGGATTCACTATCATTGAGAGAGATAGAGCAGAATGCGAATCGATTAATCGACCAACTGATGTCTTCCTCGCTCCATTCCAAATGAATTCTTTCTCGAAAAAAAAATTGCAATTGCGAATTATCGAAAATTTGTTATTTGCTTTTTTAAACTTGTTTCTTTACATTAAACTTTTTTTTTAATCCTTTCTGTAAACTTTTTTTTTAATTATTTCTACAATATTTTTTTTTTTTTTGCAATTTTTTTTTATTCATTTCTGCAATAATTTTTTATTCAGTTTTGCAATTTTTTTTATTCATTTCTGCAATAATTTTTTATTCATTTTTGCAATTTTTTTTTATTCATTTCTGCAATAATTTTTTATTCATTTTTGCAATTTTTTTTTATTCATTTCTGAAATCTTTTTTTTCATTAATTTTTATAAACTTCTTTTTAAAAAAACAGTGTTTTCTAATAGTTTTTCTGTAACCAGCTTATTTTGTAAACTTTCTTTGTAATTTTGTTTTTTTGTAAATTTTTCCTCTCGTGTCATTTATATTATTGTGTGAATAATTAATTTGACATATTCTTACCAATTGCGATGCATTTTGGTACTGGATGATCCCATCCAGTTTCAGTGCAAGTTAATATTTTATTTCCCTTGAGCTTTCGACCGGGATCACAAGAATAAACAGTCTGCAAAGAACCATTTTCCAACGTTTTCTCCTCAACTGCGCCCCATTTCGGTGGATGTACTTTTGGACAATTTCCAAAGATTCCTGTAATTAAAAGTTAATTTATTATTACAAATTATATTTATCCATTTATCACTGAGAAAATTATTTATTTCATTCAAACGCAAATTTTCTTCATAAATCAAACTTAAATTTCAAAAAAAAAAAAAAATTAATTAATTAAATTTCCCTGTATGAAAAATTCAGATTTTCAAAGACTTTAATTTGAAACCTTTTCAAAATTCAATTATTTCTAAAAATTCATGCTATAACGCTTTTAATGTTCAATTATTAGCTAAAATTTTAACTGAAATTCATTTTTAGTTCAATTTTTAAAAGAAAATTCTACGAGAATTCAATTATTAAAAGTACAAAAATAAACAATTTATTGAATAATTGAATTTTTTTCAAAAATTCAATTCTCATAAAGAATTTTATCAACAAATTTTTAAATAATTGAAATTTATCGACGAATTCTAATAAAATTTTTAAGAATAATTACATTTTTCAAGGAATTCAATTAAAATTGTATTAAAAATAATTAAAATTTTTCGATGATTTTTTTTTTATTTTTGAATATAATTGCAAAAATTAAAAAAAAATGTAAATAATTTTTAATTTAAATGTAAAAGATTTTAAATAATAAATAATTGAAAATAATTGAATTATTGCGAATTAATTTATGAAAAATTTTCAAATAATTGAATTAGTGTAGAATTTCCATTATTTACCATGAGAATAATCAAATTTTTTCGCAGAATTTTATTAGAATTTTTTGAAAATAATTGAATTCTTTTGGATAATTTTATTAAAATGGTGGATATTAAAAATCATTGAATGGAGAAAAATTTTTGAAAATAATTAAAATTTTGGCAAGAATTTTATGGAAATTTTTCATAACAATTGAATTTCGGAAAATTATTTTAATATTTATAAAGATAATTGAAATTTTAACGAGCATTTTTTTTTATATTTTTCAACATAATTGAATTGATGCGAAGAAATATTCCAATATTGTTTTGGAAAATTTTAATAAAATAGAGGATATTGAAAATCATTGAATTGGTAAAATTTTTTTAAAATAATTGAAATTTTAAATTTTTAACAAGAATTTTATTACTATTCTCAAAAATAATTGAATTACAGAGAAGAATTTAATTATTTATAAAAAATAATTAAAATTTTGACGAGAATTTAAAAAAATTTTTTAAATAATTGAATTACCGTGAAGAATTAGTTTCTTACTTTTTAAATTAATTGAATTTCTGCAATAATTTGTATCTTCTCAAAAATTCAATTATTTTAGTGTTTTTATCTAAAACACTTCTATAAGTCCATTATTTTTAATAATTAAATATTAAGAAGTTTAGCTGATTTTAAAAGAATTTTGAATATTATTAAAATTTTTCAAAAATCTAAGAAAATAATTGAAATTTTGCCAAGAATGTTATACAAATTTTTTAAAATGATTGGATTTTGGAGAAAAATTTTTTCATTTATAAGAATAATTGAGATTATAACGAGATTTTAGAAAAATTTTTGAAAATAATTGAATTTTGCAAAGGGATTTTATTATTTATAAAGATAATGGAAATTTTGACGAGAATTTTAAAAAATTTTTTTAAATAATTGAATTTTGCAAAGGAATTTTATTATTTATAAAAATAATTGAATTTTTAACGAGAATTTTAAAAAAATTTTGAAAATAATTGAATTTTGCAGAGGAATTATATTATTTATAAAGGTAATTGAATTTTAGACGGGGATTTTTTAAAAAATTTTTTTAAAAAATTGAATTTCTGCAAAGAATTGAAAAGAAACTTTTGGAAATAATTGAATTTCTGAAATTATTAATGTGACGAAAAAATTAATTACAGTTTATAGGGGAGACTGGGGCGAAAAGTTAAATTTTGCATAAATGATTTTTTTTGGCAATATAAGCCGCTTAGATGCAAATATTTGTATATCAATATTGTAGGGCAACTTGTCCTCTACAACTTTCAATAAAAAAGTTCCTGATATTTTCGCAAAAAATACATGTTTTGTCCTTTTTTGAAAATTTTGTTTTTTTTAACTTTTCGCCCCATGCTGGGGCGAAAAGTTAAATGGCTGGGGTGAAAAGTTAAACTCTATTTTCAGCCTACTAAAACTATTTTCTGATAGGTGATAAATAGTAGATAAGTTAAAGTATACGTAAACAAGTAATTTAGTAAATAAAAGATCTTTGTTTATTTGACAAAAGCTTTAGAATATTTGTAAAGTTAAAAAATTGAAATTTCAAAAAAAAAAATTTAGAAAAAAAAAATTGTAATATTTTTTCTTATATAAAAACAAAAATTATTCATCGATAACGTTACAGGACTTCTATATATAAATATCAGAAAAGTGTGTGTGCTTTAGATCAAGAAAAATTGTACAGAATTTCAATTTTTTCATTTTTTCAGTTAATATTTTTTTTAACTTTGACAAGAAAATAATTAGAGTGAACTTAGAAGAAATAAGTACAAATAAGTATACAATATTAGTTAATTTCGCAAAAGCATATGACAACGACTCGTGCGGCTAAAGCGAACGTGTGTGATATTCTATATGTAAATTAAATCTAACAGGGTCGAACACGAACACGAACACACTCGGGTAGATCATTGTACAGCAAATGGAGGTGTGTTTGAAATTGTTGACTCACGTCTCGTGTCCAATCATTCACTGAGATCCAATTGCTTTGCCTCTTATGGAAAAAGAGCAATTCCCTTAATTGTCACCAAATTTGGTATCCGTATAAATAATTTGATACCATTTCTAAATAATCCTTTGTTTTTCAATTTAATCCCTTTTGATTTGAGAAAAGAGATTTTAAAAAAAGAGATTTTAAAAAAAGAGATTTTGAAAAAAAGGTAATATGTACAAAAAAATATAGAAAAGAAATTTAAAGAAAAAAAACAATAATGTTTGCAAAGTGAAAAATAAAAAAAAATTAATTACTTCGCAGAAGAAATAATTAAATTTCTATATATATAAATGATGTTATTCCTTTGGCGTAAACAAAATTATTTTGGAATGACTAGATATTATAAATGCAGTCGATCTTATCAGATGCAGTGCGCTGTAGGCACATTTTGATATGACTTTATCAGGTTTTGTCTGGATTCAAACGCATACCGATATCAAATAACATGTGCGTTATTATTTTGGTTTCTAGTGCATTCCCTTTTCATTCGACTGCTGTTAAATATAACTTTCTTTTGTTCGATATTCTTTATTCAATTTTATTCTAACGCACTAAAAAAAAATTCATAAAGTTTTATTTTTTTTTGTTAAATTATAAAGCCAATTAAGAAGAATAGTTCTAAAATTGTTCAAAATTTTTTGAAAATTGAACCACCTTGGAATATTAAAGTAACTAACTTTGCATTGGTATTGCAATATTATGCGGAAAATATTTTTCAATATTTAAATATATTCAGTTTTTTCTTTATTCTTCTTTAAACAAACATCTATAAACATCAAATAATAAATGTTCATTTACATTTTAAAATGTTCATTAATAAAAAATTACATTCATTTGAATAATAAAAAAGTTTATTAACTCAACAGTATATTATGACTTTTTCGACTTTTTTCGACTAACTTTCAAATAATGCGACTTTTCGACTTTTTTTTCAAATGTTGCAATAAAATACCACATTTTTAGTATGAAATGCAACTTATTTCCAGTTTTATAACGTAAAAAATAATTGTAGACAAATTTTTCAAAATTACATTTTTGAATAATTTTTTACGATAATAAAACTTTTAAAACAATTATTATTATTAATTTTTTAATTAAAAAATTTTTGAATAATTGAAATTTTATAAAATTTAATTAAAAATAGTTTATCTTTTAGAAGTATTTTATTACAATTTTTAAAAAACAACTTTTAAAGAATTTTAATTGCAAATTTATAAAATAATTAAATTCTCATAAACATTAATGGAAAATTTTCAAGTCTAAAGCTTGAAATGGAAATTAATGAAAATTTTCTTCTGAAAATTAAATTCTAAATATTTTAGAAATAAGAAATTCTTAAAATTTTTCGATTCTAATTTTTTCGAATTTTAAATATTTCAAAATTTTCACTAATATTTTTCAAAAAATTCAAATACAGACAAAAAATAATATCACTAAACTTTTTTAGAATTATTTGTAACATTTTGAAGAAGACAATTATGTTCAAAATTTTTAATTAAAATTCTTCGAAAAAATTTATTAATTTTCTATAACTTATAGAAATTTTTTTAAGAAATTCAATTTATTATTTTCAAAAAATTACTGTACAATATTTCCAAAAACCTAATTCTTAGAAATGTTTTATCATAAATTTTTAACAATCAATTAACATGTTCATATTATTTTATAATTAAAATTCTTTAAAAATTTTATTTTGTTTTTTATATTTTTCAAAAATTTCTTTATTTTTAAATGTTTTTATTCAATTTTAATTATTTTTAATAGATTTTATCAAATTTCAATTATTTGGAAATTTTTCAATTGTACATTTAATTAAAACCCTATTATCTTTCAAAAATTATTTTAAAATATTTTTAAAAAATAAATTAGGTATAAGAATTTCTTTATTCCAATTTTTTAAAAATTACTTTAATAACTTTTTAAAAGAACGAAATTAATAACATTCGTCGCAAAAATTCAATTATTTTCAATGAATAAAAAAAAATGGTAGTCAACATTTTAATTATCTTTATAAATGAATATCAAAATTTTTCTCCAAAATTCAATTATTTTCAAAATTTTGATTAAAATTCTTCTCAAGTATTCAATTATTTTCAAAAATAATAAAATATTTCACTGAAATTAAATTATTTCTAAAATAAATTCTTGTAAAGAATTCAATTTATCTTTATAAACAGCAAAACTTTTGGCAAAAATTCAATTATTTTCAAAATTGTTCTGAAATTCAATTATGTTCCAAAATTCAAAAAAACTTCTCGTCAAACTTTCAATTATCTTTAGAAATAATAAAATTCTTCTCAAAAATTAAATTATTTTC